GACGGCAAAAGAGACCAAAAACGGTCTCTTCACGTCTTAACATATGTAATTATATGAAACACATGTCGCAAGGCGCGACCAGTGCGAGAGGCAGAAATCGATGACATATAGATCGGTCTCGGGGTAGTGCTTGCTGCCTGTGTCACTCAGTCTCGCTTGTATTTCGAAGTGATTAGTTGATATTTTATAGAAACTGTAGTTGCAAAGTTCTTTCGATCTAACCTGGGCCGTGTTGCCAGATGAAAATTTGCTGAAACAGTAGGTGGGCGAAAATAAAACAGTAGATCCAAACAGTAGATTTTAACACAGGGGAAAATATAATTTGCAGTGTAGTAAATAAAAAAAAGCAAAACAATTTATACCCAAACCTGGAAGGATAGATTATACTGTCCCAAAAACATACCGACTAATTAGTCTGACATCGTTTTCCATGAAGACATTGAAAAGGCTATGTGAAAGGTACATAAGGAATGCGGTGATTATAATAACACCACTACACCCAAACCAACATGCATACACCCCAGGAAGATCTACTGATTCAGCCTTTCATCTAGTTGATGACCGGATAGAGAGATCCATGAACAATAAGGAGTCCGCCTTGGGTGTTTTCATAAATGCTTTTTATCAAAAGCATTTTCTATATCAAACCACCTTCCCAAAGATAATACACTCAATAACCAACAGGAATGTGCCACAGATGGTTAGTGGGTGGATTCATAATATACTCTCAAAACGAGCAATAAACATAAGTGTAGAAGATGTGAATATAAGAGCCTTAGTTGCGAGTAGATGTCCACAGGGAGGGGTGCTATCACCTCTACTGTGGAATATGGTCCTCGTTATCCTCATCAGTCGCCTCAATACTGACAGTCACTACACAATAGCATATGCAGATGACCTAGTCATTTTGTAAAGAAATTTAGAATTTTGAGAACATACTCTGCAAAATAATGCAAGTAGCTCTAAAAATTATAGAACAGTGGTGCAAGGACCATTCACTGTCTATCAATCCCAAGAAGACATACATTGTCCTTTTCACAAGGAAAAAGATGAAAATGAAATTAAAATCTCCCGAACTCCTAAACACAAAACTAAACTTTACAACAGAGGTGAAGTACCTTTGACAGCAAGTTAACATGGAAGTCGCATTTAGAAAACATATAAATTTATAAGAGAACAAATAGATGGTTTTAAAACAAAACAAGGCTCAGGATGTGGATGTGGAATAAACTCCAGATTCTTAAACCTAAACATAAAACGGGCTGTGAGCAATAGTGCCAGTGTAGTTCAAACAAAGGTAACGGGGATTCTCATAGCAGCAAAAGAAATAACCAGAAGCAATATCACTGGAAGGAACATGCTCATCTATACAGACAGCAGACAAGCACTACTGATCAGACCACAAATTTACTAGGGTTTACTAGGTTTTGGCCGAAGCATCCATCAACAATGTAGTCACCTTAAGATGGATTAAAGGTCACGTCACATCGAAAGGTAATCGTCTTGCTAATTCACAAGCCAAGAAAGCAGCCAACCAACTACTTTTTGGACCTGGCCCTTCTATTGGCCTGACAAAATCGGTAGTGACAGACCTAATTAAAGAACATTCAATTTAAGGAAAGATGGAATAAAACAAGAAACTGCAGAGTTCAAAAATCTCATAAGTTATCCTGACAACACTGCAGCAAACAAATACTTGACTATGACTAGACGAAATCTGCGCCTAGTGGGCATTCTGACTGGCCATTGCCAAGTATGGAAGCATCTCCATATCATGGGACTGTCAAAATCCGCACTCTGCAGAGGGTACGAACAAGAAGATGAGATCATCCTTTACGATTACTCGACACTCTCATTTATTAGAAGATTTGTGTTCGGCGAGTATCTGTTCACACCGGTCGATATAAGAAAAGCACCTCTTGGCGTCGTTGTACAATAAATCTGTAGGCTAGCTTACGAGCTAGGAGGTGCCTATCATCTTAGGAGGATGTACAATGGGCCTAGTAAGGCCTAAGTGCCATAGGGGTAACCCACCCTTACACGTTACAGACAGATAGTTGTCCCTTGGGCTATACGCTGCAAATTTTAATTTTTTTTTATAAAATAAGCGAGCAACTTCCATTTGTGTCCGTGTGTTATCTCCATAACCAATTATCTGCAGAATTGTTATTTTGTGTATTTCTGTTAGATGAACCATTTTTCTAATATGCAGTTAAGAAAATTCAAACGACTATAACACTGACAACTACTGTCATGCAGTCAGATAACAGTTTGCTAAGGTCAGGCGTTTTAAACAAAAGTAAACAAAACTATTTAAGTATAGCTTTTTTATTTCATATCAATAAAAAGGAACGCTGAAATGGTTTTTGCTTACTTTCTCATTATCAAGATCTAAATGGGAAATAAGTATTGAGTTTGTTATAGCTATTTTCTGTAATCAAATATTTTATAGTATATAAAATTTGTCTAGAATTTTCTGAAGAATATAAAAATTAAAAAATATACAGGATATTGCGTTTAAAATAAGAAAGTTGGTATTGGCCGCTATTACATGACACCCTCTGTATAAAAAGTTTTTGTTAAAAAAATACGCAACTAAAAATACCAATCGACGTGTTTTCCCTATTTATTTATTACCGATTTTTTTTATTTGGCTGTTCCACACTGTATGTTCATGACTAACGAAAATACTTAAAAATAATATTTTTTCTCTAATTGTTCCATTATGATCTATTTTAGAGAAATCATGTAGGAAACAAAAATTATAGAGTGATATCGCAAACAACTTTTATTTGAAAAATGTTCTTTTCTAATCGTAAATAACAGATATTCCCTAGAGTAAAAAATTACACCTTATAAAGTACCCTCCCTTTCCCAGATGCTTCGACTATGCCCAAAATTGAATCAGCTTACCGTAGGATGGATTTTGGTGTACTTTTCTTTATCCGTTTATGAAATTTTCCCATTTCCCAAATTATCTCAAATACGGTCTATTTTAGGAAAATCATGTATAAAACAATAATTATAGAGAATCACATCACAAGCAACTTTCTTTAAAAAATTTTCTTACAAATTCGAATTTTGCACTTTTTCTCAAATTTCTCGAATACGGACCATTTTAGGAAAATTATGTTAATGATAAAAATTATAAAGAATAATATTGCAAGCAACTTTTATTTAAAGGATCTTCTTCTCAAAGCGTAAATAATAGATATTATTTTATTAACTAAACTAAACTACCCCCCTAAAGTACCCCCCAGAAGTTTCAATTGTGTCCAAAATCTAATCAGCTTACCGCAGGATGGGTTAATGCTTAAGTTTAAAACTTCTGTTTACTCATGTATGAGTTATCGAGTATAAACACGACGGTATCGCATAATTTCGGAGGCCATATCTTGAAAATGGTATGAACCCAAACGAAATAAATTGCTGGCACCCATTGAGCCCATTGCTTACTGAAACAGGATCAACAGTTTGTGAGACCAGCCCATTCATTGCGATGCCATATCTCGAAAATGGTATGAGTCCAAACGAAACAAATTGCTGGCCCATTCAGCCCATTGCTTACTGAATCAGACTCAATGGTTTGTACGGCGAGTCCATTCTTTGCGATTCTACCGTCAAGATGGCATCTCATATTTTTGGAGGCATATCTCGAAAACGGGATGAGCCCAAACGCTGAATGTTATGAGCCCAATGAGCCTAAAAAAGAAGCATCCTGGCCCATTTATCTATTTTGATTTTCTGAAACATTGCAATGCCAGCATATTGCGCTGACTAGAGAATGATTTAAAAATTAGAAAGAGATCTGATAAACCGAGTCGGAGTCGAATCTTTCACTTAAATTAACAATTAGGACAACATATTATACGTAATGTTCTCGTGGTATATCGGTTATTACATTGTAGCAGGTCCGAGGCCCGCGCGAAACAGTTTTTTTTTTTTTATTTTTTTTTTGGTTTGTTATCTCCTTTGACTTCTCTAATATTTGTTTCGGCAATTTAAACCGACAAAAATTTTATAATTTTGTTTTTTATTATAATTTTTCCGAATACAACAATTTAAAAATGTAATCGAAATTAAATGTCAAGTAGATCAAAGCCAAGGGGTTGTTTTATGCAATTATGTCAAACAATATTCGCCAAAATCAGCTCCTCAACATTTTCGTTTTTTTTTTAGATTGCCTTGGTAGTGGATAAAAACAAGCTTCAAATTTACTAAAAACCACTGCGTGTAATTTTAGAAGCTAATACAAGTCTAATAATGATTATTAACATAGATAGATTAATATTAGATTTAGAGAAACAAATAATGTTGCGAAAATAAATAATTACACGAGTTTTATTTGTTATGATTAATCAACGACAATAAAAATATTCTCCATCACTTCATTTTTAATTTCTGGTAAATCATATTCCGCAAATTTTTTATTTACAATCATGGATACAATGATTTTTCATTCATAAATGAGGCTCATTTTTGTTCATTAACAGATATATTATATAAACCAATCAAAACAGTGTATTTCGTCTTTATTTGAGTTATCTTTTAAATATTTCCTTCCAGAAAAAAATGTTTAATTGATAAGTGTGACATGAGTCAAAGAACTTAACAAAAGACTGTGAAGTCGCATCCGTTGTTTCATGATAATATTGCACACTTTCAAGATTAATTTAAATAAATTTACAACGCAGTTTTGTGTTTATTTTTTAACATCCAAACTTTTACAGATTTGTTTTGAAAATTAATATAGCATTTTATTCTCTCGAAGCAAGCCATCAAAAGATACGTAAAACAATATTTGGGGCAGGTTTCATTCCTAAAGTTTTCTAGAAATTTACAAAATCTTTCCAATCTAATCAAGATGAACATTTTATTCCAATTAAAGGATTCACGCAGTACCTATTGTGATTAAAATAAACTGGCATTTATTTATAAAATGTTCACAAACTAAACAAAAGATTGTCTAATCTAAAAAGAATAGGTAATTTTTCTCCTACCTCAATAAACAATTTTTTTCCTTATTTATATGTACATAGCCGAACCGAAACAACAAATAATATTATGTATACATATAAAAGATTAAAATTAATGACTGATGGATAAGTTCACTAAAAATTGATACTAGTTTGAAAACTGCTTCTGATCGCGCGAACGTAATACAACAGACTGGCGGGCGATAATAGAAGTGGAAACAATAATTTTTAGATAACAAGTTTACAGAATTTATACTAGATTCCATAAAACTATGTATGATTTGTTTATGAGTCGTCTCGCTGTAAATGGCTTAACCGCACCTTTAATAATGGAATTATATATGCTTCCCGAAGTAATTCTGTCTGGCTCAATGTTAATTCGAATTTAAGAGGAGTATTTACTTTAGAGCAGAGCATGCAAGGGTTTCATTGTACCCCACTTTTAAATTTTATTTTTGACTTTTTCTAAAAGAAAAAATATGTGTGCGTAGGTCCTCTGAAGATACTTTTTCAAAACTTAATTGTTTTAAAAAAAAAGCAAAGCTCGACTATTTTACTCATTTTTATGGAGCATAAATTTAACCTTTACCTACACGTAAATGTATTTTTTTCTTTTAAAATTAGTCAAAAATAAACTTTAAAAGTGGGATACTACGAAACTGCAAGATTTTTTGTCTGGAAAGTGACGCCCCTGTTAGATTTTAAGAAATTAATATTTATGAATGGCAAGAATTTATAATATATTTTACTGATGTTTTACGCGGGATAAATAAATTTTACGAATTTGTACACCTTATTGTTTTATGTAAATCATTTCTGTAATACTCGACATATATAATATGCAAGGGTTTCATATAGTACACCAATTTTACGGATTATGTTTACTACAAGAAAAATCTGATCTGTCCAACACATGACGTTCCTATCTAGGCTTTTTTCGGTTATTTTGTACAACCTATTGCAGCACCTCTATAAATGTTTAGAGGATAAACTAAATATATACATTTTCCACATACATCTAACTCGAAACATTTTTCTATAATATATATTCCATAAAAAATAAAAACGGCCTCCAATAAAGAACCCCCCCCCCAGATGTTCCGACTTCGTCCAAAATCTAATCATTTCACCTCAGGCCGAAATAAAACTTAAGTTTAAAATTTAATGTTTTTTCCATTATCCGTTTTTTAATTTTCTTCATAATTTACACATTTTCTCAAATATCTCGAATACGATTCATTTTAGAGAAATTATGTATAGAATAAAAATTATATAGAATTATATTCTAAATAACTTTTATTTGAATAATTTTTATAATTTGTTTTTTACATTTTGTCAAATTTATCGAATACGGACCATTTAAGGAAAATTTTGTATAACACAAAAATTATAGATAATAATATTGTAAGTAACTTTTGTTCAAAGAATTTTCTTTTCCAAACGTAAATAACGGATATATTCTATAAAATATAAAAATGACCACCTATAAAATACCCCCCAAATATTCCGACTCTGCCTAAAATCTAATCAGTTCACTGGAATAAAGCTTAAGTTTAAAATTTGGTGTTTTTCTTTGTATCGGTTTACGACTTATGGTGGATACAGACGATATGTATTGTTTTAAGGTTAGGTATTTGTACAGGAGACTAATAATGTTTAGAACAGCATTCTATTCTTCGAGGCGGATAATAAGCGTACGCTAGCATGCCTCGACGAATAGTATATTTCTCACAGCGCTCCCTGATGAATAGGCACGGTCTTTTTTTAATTTCAACCCCCCTCAACCCCCATTTTAAATCAAAGGACTTTTTCTCCTTAGAGCTTGATTTTTATTAAAAATTTCAAGTTGATATTTTTCGTTTTTGAGTTAATTTTTTTTATTATTTTAATCCCCCTTATCCCTCCAATTTATTCAAACTTTTTTCAGAATCAGTAGGCTTCATCTTATAGAGCTTAATTTATACTAAAAATTTTATGTTAATATCGCTTTTCGTTTTTGATTTATGATTTTTTAATTTTTTATTTTACCCTCCATTTTTAATCAGTTTCTTTTTAAAATCAATAGGATTTGTCCCCTTATATAACTTAATTTTTCCTGAAGATTTCAATTTGATATCGTTTTTTGTTTTTCAATATTTCAACCCCTCTTGCCTACTTATTTTTATTTATTTATTTCCTTATAGAGCTTGGTTTTTAATAAACATCTCATGTTGATATCACTTTTGGTTTTTGATTTCTGTTGTTTTTATTACAACCCCGCCCCCCTTGACCACCATTTTATTCAATTTTTTTTTTAAATCAATAGGCTTTGTCCCCTTATAGAGCTTGATTTTTGCGAAAATTTCAAGTTAAATTGGGATTTCTTTTTATATTTCAAGTCCCCTTAACACCTTTATTTTTATTCAGATTTTTTCCAAATAAATAGGATTCGTCCCTTTATAGAGTTTGTTTTTCCTAAATTTTTGACTTATCGTGCCATCAAAAAACGTGACATATGACGGACGGATGGATGGACGGACAAAATAAACCTACAATACTATTCACAGACTATTTATTGTGTGAAGAGTATAATAATAAATGAATTAAAAAGTTGCTCTTGTGACAGCGAAAACGAGCGGTGTGAAGATAGCAGTCAATTTCAGCAGCCAAAATTTCCGAAACTTACGATTGGACATTTCAGTGGCGTAAAATTTTTAGATAAATATAGGAAAAACAAAAGATTCGATAAAATAATTCAGTAAAGTTTAATAATTGAAATAATATTTCGATTATAAATTAAAATTTGTAAACTTATAATAAATTTTCCTTACACTTACGAAATAAGTTTTAGTTGCAAGTCGAAAATAAACTTGCAACAAGTGTTTGTAAATTTTTATGTTTAGGGGATTCCTATTTTCTGTTAACTGATTTCGTATTTGCGAATCTTGGGCCAGTCTAATTAGATTTTTCGCGACTGAATGAATATTTTTGTTCAAATTTAGTACATACCTATAATGAAATAACCTTCAAGTAAATTTTTGTAACGGTTTTAGATAAAAAAACTGGTTGATACCACTTTATTTCAATCATTTACCTAAAAGGTAATTACCAATTAAATAAAAATTCTTATCGTTTAGGTATTAAAAAAAAAATGCTTTTTGCTTTTAAGTAATAGAGCAGATAAAATTAAAAAACATAAGTTAAGTCAACATATTATTATTAAAGTGAAATAATTTATTGATTTTCCTCGTGTAATAAATATGCAGATAAAAACAAATCATTAAAAATCAATCTTATTGATGATTGTTTTGGTTTTAATATCAATTTTCAAAAGACGAAACAGAAATAATATTAGAACTTAAAGTTTACTTTATTACTCGCCAGGTTGTTTTCTTAAGAAAAGATATAGTATTGCATTAAGGAAGAATCATCGAGCATACTAATAATATAATATAGGTTACTATTATTGTATGAGATACTTGAGTTACCCACATCAATTACCACAAAGAGTAAAAATAACGTGATAACCACGAGCCGTCGGTTGTAACGCGTGCGTAACAAGATATAATAAAGTGGATTATGAGCTAACCGAGGCCACTGGAGCTTACATGTTAATACATGAAATATTAATTTCCGTAAAAGTTACCTAAAGTTAGGCACTAGTAGCGTGATAGTACATTATATAATCAAGAAACTGAAGTGGCACTTTTTATAAAAGTTTGTAGCCCAACCGGACTACAAACGTCGAGGGATAAAAGACACTTTAGTCCCATGGTTTATATGCTCTTTTATACACTTAAGAAAAGAAAATTATGAAAAATCACTTAACGGTTCTCTAATCCAGAGCCCGTATGTTAATAAGTCACTTCAGGCACGGACTTCACACTTCATCAAAATATTTGTTAAAAAAATATGTGTAGATACTTATATATACAGTGAGCATCATAAGTCTAACTCGTTACTGGAGTCTTGTTAGGAAAATCGCCGAGACACGTCGATTTTTGTTTTCTACAATGTACATTTTTGTATGAATAATGTACCCTTAATTTCATCCCTTACTGGAGCAACCCTTTTGAAAAATTTAAATGGCATGGGGAGGTGAGTGATAGCTCATTTGAAAGGAGGTTTTATTTTCTAGTCAACCGTGCAAACAATTTTGAAATTTGCCTAATTAATTCTCGACTAATTATTGTTTCAGAATAACGAAAATTAACGTAGCGCACTCATCCTTAGAATTAAAAATAGACCCTGCATGATATCGGTTTTCGTTCTGACGTGAAGTAAGACTTTTTATCATTAGATAAGGTCACTGTTAGTTTATTTGCTTTCCTAATTGTGATGTTTTGTTATTTTTAAACATTATTAAATCAACTCGTAATGAAGCAAATTTCAAAATTTTTTGCACGGTTGAATACAGAATGAAACCTCCTTTCAAATGAGCTATCACCAAAGACATTACAACATAAATGTATTTGGTTATCTCTAATTACCCCATGCCATTTAAATTTTTTGAAAGGGTTACTCCTCTCCAGTAATGTACATTGTAGAAATCAAAAATCGACGTGTCTCGGCGATTTTCCTAACAAGACTCCAGTAACGAGTTATGATGCTCACTGTATTGGTAAACACAGCTCGGAATTATATGTATACCTGAGGATGACAAATTAGGGTAGACGGAGACCAATGTAGATTCCTTATAAAAAATAAAAACGATGTTTTATTTTAACAATTTTAAGTTAAGGCGGGAGTTGAAAAACTGACCAAATAACAATTGAGAACCGTTACATATCTTGGAAACAAAGATTAATCAAAACTATTTTCTCTAAATGCTATCGGTTTCTGCTAACGGAACTCAGGTCAAAGCTTTCAAAGTGCAAAGTGAATATAAACCATTGTTGTCAAGTTGTATTAAACTTCCGATATTATGTCTGCATTTGTTTATATAAATAGAAATAAGTATGATTGACAGGAATTTTTAAAAATAATGCAAATAATATTACAGAAATAAGGGTAAATAGTTCCAATAACAAACACCTATAATTTCAAAATTAATAATAAATAATAAAGGGATTGATTAGAGATTAGAGAATACTACATTTGCTTTTGTACATAATTTTTTGTTGGAAAACGTAAGTTTTGTGAAGACTGACTTTGTTATGGTATGTTTCCATTCGTATGTTATTTTCAAAACATACGATCTACAAAAATTGGATA